CAATGCCAGCCTGCTATTGGGGTCCACAGCTGAGTTAATTTACATATAGAGGCATTGAGGCCTTCATCCTCTGTGACTGAGGGTTCGACGGGGCAGGGCGGCTTCGTGAATGGCCCGGGCCTTTGTCGGTGGGATAATTAGTGTTATTATATGGGCTTTCGGGGTTCTTAAACTACTTACTAAGTCCCCATGACCCTCCAAGTAGTTGGGCTTTATAGGGTTCACGGAATGCTAGGTTTCCGGATGTAGGATTACCGCTTTGAGTGAGTTATGCCTGACGGTCTTTGCCTTGGGGCATCATGGTCAATGTCAGTGTTTTGGATGTAGGTAGGGTTTTGTGATTGGCACTCCAGGATGTGTTATACAGGGCGACCCAGGATACGCTAGGGATCGGTTTGATGATTTTGGGCTTGGGCTTGGATGTTGGGATTGCACTAGGTCTGTACTTAACCCTATACATTGACAGGTCTAATTCATGATGCTCGACGGTTCATGAAATTGAAGTTGTGGGGATTTAGAGCTGGCGGAAAGATTTTGCCAGCAGCAGTTATTTGCTGCTTGAGAAGGAACCCATGGTCGCAGAGCTGTTTGGTTCCATCAGATTCCAAAAACATGCCTAGGTCGATAACTTGCTTTACAATTTATTAGGGGGCGTTGAGTTTTGAAGAGGCTTAGCCCTGGAGAACTTTGTGTTCGAGAGTTGGATCCCATCGTTCATGCAGACATCTGAAGGCCTCATAGGGGCTGCTCTCCCCCCACAACCGAGCTCACATCTGGTCCAGAGTGCCTTTCATATTTCACATGCGAAGCTAGCCTGTCAGTGCACTCTAGGGATGTGACGGTTTATGGGCATTCACTCGCTGGGCATGACAGGAACATTCTGGGCCTTGCTGCTCAAAGTGACATGTGGTTGGGCATTGATAGGAAAGAAAAAAATTGGGGATGGGAAGGCTAGATATCGAAACCCTTAAGTTATAACCTGGTTGCAACCTGTCTACGCCTTTAGCTTGCCTACCTAGCTTAAGAGGAGTGCCGTTGAGCACTTCAGGAAGCTGGGTGATCTAGAAAAGCGATCATGTCTTTTTTTCAAATTTCGGCAGAGACCGTTAAATAGTTACCAATGTTATCCCCTTTTAGGTTTGAGGGTTTAGGGGTAATGGAAAATCAGAGTGAATTGAAATGGAGGTTCCGATTTTGTGCCAATGTCTATCAGGTTTCTTGTTTTCTTGGCAGCATGCCCATGCTAATCTCAAAAGCAATGTTTTGGTCAAAGCCCATGCTTATCTTAGAGGGTTTTTCAGTTTGGGGTTCAGGGATTAGGGTTAACGGTTTGGGGTTTAGGGCTTTGTAGGACTCCAGCACAAGGCAAGTCTCTCAATTTAATTGGCAATTACGCATAATTTATAACCTAAATCAGGAACTGCAACCCAAAATACTCTGTAGTCAAGTTCAAGGTAGGTTGTAGAACGCGCGACCGTGAAACCTGACACGCATGCAAAAACTTCTGCGCCAGACAGGTGCAGCTGCACCAATGTACCAGCAGAATGGACAGGCACAGGCACAGGGGATCAGCGCGGGGAGTTTTATGGTATATTTAAACATATCACGGATATTATAGTATATATGAGGGCATAACTTAGTATGTTCAGGTATATTACAGCATGTTTGGGTATACTACAATATATGATGGTATATTCTAGTATGTTCTGGTATATTATAGTACGTTACGCGCTTCCCTTGCCCGCGTCATCGTCCGCTCGCTGTCCTCCTTGTCCTCTTCCAGCTGTGTGGGGTAAACATTCCCATCCCCAAAGGATCCTGCGTACCTATATGGGGAACACTAACCTATTACCTTAGGGTTCAGGGTTTAGGGCTATAGTAAAGAAACCCTAATTACTTTGTACTATATGGAGAAAACGGGAATATATTAGGGTTATATAAAGATAACGGAAAAGAAAATGGAAGCTACTGAATTGCGTGAAGGATGACTTCTTAAATGCTGTTTCAAAAGATACTGTAGCGCCCTGGTGTCCAAGCGAGCCCTGCTTCTCCAAAGGGTCCAGATGTTTATAAAATATTCCAGATGTCCTAGGGCTCCCAGCTACCTAAACAGTAGGTTACTGGGCTATGTAACTATAGGGTACATAGAACCCAGAGCCCATTATTTAGGTAACTGGGAGCCATCGGGTATGATACCTGCATATAACTGGGGCGTAAACGCATTTTCTATGTAGGTAGTTCGAGGCCTGTACGTCTATGTTATGTATAGTTTTGGGGGGGTCTTGGAGCCCTACGAATACCCTATATCCCAAGCCTAAAGCCCTAAATCCCAAACCGTGTTTGACCTGCGAAGCCGTGGACCTAGGCCAGCAACTGCTGGCAAGTGTCAAAGAATTTTTGGGGATGGACCTGGCGGCTAGTAGGGAACAAGGGAATAAATCATGTAGAGGTTGTATGAGCTGCAGTCTAAACTCCTTGACGGGGGTTACCTAGAAGTTTGCATATGGGAGTGTTATAGGGGTCATAAGGGGGATACTAGGAGTTTGGACTATAGCTCATATAGGGATTATATTCCTGTACTCCTCACTACTCACCAGTAAGTTTGGGCGTCCTTTCCCACCAAACGTTTTTCAGCCAAGTGCTTTCCCATGGCGCAGGTACAAAAGCAAGCGTTGTAAAGAACACAGGGAAACCAACACGAAGTAGCTCACAATATATATATATGGGGTAAAATCATGATGTACTGTTATTCATTTTGGCAAGGGCTGTTCAACTCTAGCATGTATATCGGGGATCTGCATATAGAGCATATAGAATAATTTTGATGATTGTGTGTCCTTCAGAGGCGCCGCCGTGGCACCAGCAGAACGGAAACTCGGATTGCAATTCAGACTTGTGGGCTTGGATTCGAAGTTATGTGTATCTTGGGCTTAGGTGTTAGGGTCAGGGAGCTATTGGTCAAGGATTGCAGGCTGCACGGGCTTGGGGGTTGAGGTCTTTGAATTTGCCTGGAGGCTGCTGCGCAGAGGCCGTAAATAGGCAGTTGGACCCAACCCCCACAGTCAACTCGCATGTACAGACTTCCGCAGAGCGCCTGGGCTAGGGCAGAGTCTTTGGTTTGCAAGGATCTGGTTGCAGAATTTCTGGTCTGAAACCTCTGCTCTCTCTGACTAGACTATACTTCCACGATTAGGCCCGACACGTCCCGGGAATGCATGCTTTCGTACAGCTGGGTTGACAAGCAGCCCCTGATTTAAGGTTCAGAGTCTCGGTCTCAGGGCTGCGAAGCTTACCTGCCACGTCGTTTCCCTCGCGCCAGTGTTCTTCTCAACAGTACATCTCACCCAAAGGGTCCATGTAGCTATATGGTATATACTCAGCCCTTAAAGTAGGTATATGGGAACCCCTTTGGGCCCTAAGTATATACCATATACCTACATGGACCCTTTGGGTCATGTGCTTGCTTGATGGCATGAGCTGCTGCACGCTTGCTGAGACCAAAAAACACATAGCAGCTAATATGGGGATTTTCCAAGATTAGGGGTACCCTTTTTGGGTGTCCCCATAATAAGGAATGTGGTATATTGGGGTCTATATTGGGGTCCCCCTATTTTGGGAAACTACCATATGGATTTATGTTCGGAACTCTGCAAGAGCTTGGGTCAGCAGCATGTGGGGTTTCCGTCTGAAAATGCAAACACAGCCCCGAAGACTTTGCAATCAGAATTGAAGCAAACCTGTTTCCCAGCCCCCTGCCCACTGAAGACTATGATCGAAACCTCATGGGGGTTTCCCAAAAATTGTGGGGCGATCATTCTGTGAAAGACTATGACAATCGGCATTATCGTTCTTGGGTGGAGTACAACATAAAGGGACTCTCATTTCTGGAAACTACCATGTAGAACCTCTACAATTCTGACAGAAAGGCTCTCGGTAGATAAAAACATCCTTCATAGTGCGCATGACTCTTGCATGGGCTCCAATCACCGATGGTTTAGCCCGCCAGCACTGTTCCCCAATTCAACACTTAAAGCTGTAGACCTGCAACTGAAAACCACAACTCTCAACCGCCAAGCCAGAGAAATAACAACCCAAGCCCTGCAGAATGTAACTTCGTGAACATCAGGGGTACTTTTTTGTGACTTTCAGAGAATATCATGGGTTGTAGTATCTTGGGGTCCAAATTGGCGCCCCTATTGATGGAAACCTCGCGTACCCCTCACATCCCAGACCCCAACAAGGAGCACCTTGTGGTACTGCTACTGCTGCCGCGCCTCCTGAGGCTAAGACTTGAGACGTAAGCTATGTGGAGGTTCAGGGTATTCATAACCTTTTCACATTTGGTTTTTCAATTCAAGTACAGTCCTTCTAAGTCCGCTGGTATGATTATAACTACGGTTACAAATGGGCTACAACCAACCTGAACCTGTAATTGAGGATATAAAGATTGCCGGGCGTATAGGCTTTTAAGCTTTTGGGGTTCGGGGTCACCCTAAACCCTTAGGGTTTGGCGAGTCTTGGGTTTAAGGTTGAGGTCTCCTTCTTGCGAATCCAGCGGCAGGCAGCACAAATGAGAAAAGAACGGACTGAAAAAGGTTGAGGGTTCAGGGCTAAGGGCCCTAAACCCTAAATGGTTTGGTTTTAAGTTTAGCTTGAGAGTTCAGGGCTGTGCACGAAGCGTGAAATCTCAAAGGGTACAGCTTTGATGCACCTTTTTAGATCTTAATATCATATAGATGCCACTTGCTCATTCGAGAGTTTATTGAGCATGCGCCGGAAAGTGGAGTTCGTGGTGTAGGGATGAGGGCGAAGCATTGAGGTGCTAAGGTTGGCTTGTGGGTCTGGGGCTGCATATTGTTTAGCAACCAGGTTTGCCGGACAGGGTTCGGGATTTGAAGCTTAGGGCATCAGGTTAGGTGCAAAGTACACGCTGTCGAGCCGGGATGGATTGACATGAAGAAGGCTAAGCTTTAAGGCTAAGTATCGCTCACATCACCCCAAACTGTCAAACTGCCATGCCAGAACAACAGGAGGCCTAGACGCATTCTATCCTTGTCGCTTTAATTTCAGAAGTTGTTATATATACCCCAATGATGCAGAATCGAATGGAAAATGGCAAATGAAATGGAAACTGCTGTATGTAGGGCTATATAAGGATTATAGGATAAACGAGTTGATGTCTGCCCGATGAACTGCGGTGAAGCGCCATGTGCGCTATAGTCAAAAAATCCTTCAAGGGGGTTATATGGGGGATTATATTGGGGAGTATTCTAAGGGTCATTGGGGAGGATACCTGGAGTTAAGACTATGGTTCATGTTGTAACACCAAATTTTCATGGGAGACCAAGGGGACAGAATTCAAACCTCGGAGATCTGCTGTGCTCCCAAAGGGCTGTAAGGAGCTCTATCTATATATATATATACACTCCCACAAACTAACATGGAAACCCATATAGCCCCCCTTTTAAAGGGACTGTAGTCTTTATAGGGCCCTTTTGGGGTTTCCATGTTAGTTTCCGGGAGTATATATGTATATATTTACACGTATAAATACGTACCCAAAGCATACTGGAAGTTCCTACAGACCGAAGCGGTACTTTGTAGTACTCTAAAGGTACTTTGCACCTTTTGGCCAGAAGCACCGCGCCAGTTATTCGCTTCGCCAAAGCATACACGCGGTTTAGGGTTTAGGGTTTAGGGCAACAGTGCCACTAAGCCTGGCACGCACAAATCTTGCTCACTCCAAATCATGCCCCAAGAAGCACCACAGCGAAAACAACTCATGCTTTTGGGGATCAAGTTTTATGACTTGCGTGGCTCTCCAAATCTCCCTACATTGTTTCTTTTCAATCCTCTGTATGACCCAAATTGCTCTAGGATTCATGATCCTTTTCTGAAACAAGATGCCCCAAAACCCTGAACCCTAAACCCCTGACAGCCCAAATTGTAAGCTATATATGGCCCCTATATAGCATCTAGATCTCCTTCTTGGAGGATCTCTGGACCTAGTAAGTCTACTTAGTAACATGGGTTATTGGGCTCATACTAGGGGTTATTAGGGATAGTAGGTGGACCTACTACGAAAAAAAGATCGAATTCAAGCTTCAGGGAACCCCTTCCGCCAACGTGCAGGTACAGGACAGACCAGCAGACCTCTCTTCCCAGGTGGCATCCTAGCTTTAAGGTTTAGTCTTTAGGGTTTCGGGTTTGGGATTTAGGGTTTGGGGTTTAGGGTTTAAGATTTAGGGTTTAAGAAGTGTTCAGGGTTTAGGGTTTAAGGTTTAGGGTTTAGGGCTCAGGGTTTCAGAAATTCATTGTTACTGTAGGTATGGGGATTATAAGGTTCAGGGTTTAGGGTAGGCATATGGTAGATACTTGGGCCCAGAGGGGCCTCCCCATAATTACTTTGGGGCATGTATATAGATATAGCTACATGGACCCTCAGGGTGGAAACGACTTTTTGTGAAGTTTAGGTTTATGCGGTTGAAGGTTTATCGCTTCTGGTGTGTGGCCTATAGGTCCGAGCTTCCCAAGAAAGGCCTGAGTAGGGTTGACGGCTTAGGGCTTAGGGTCCCCCTTAAGTAGATAGAATACGGGGTATATGGGGATCTTTTTATAATATGCCCAAAGCCATATTCTATCTACTTAAGGGGGACTATAGGGTTTAGTTCAGTTTTTGTCTTGTGAGTAGAGACTGCAGGCCTAGATTCAGGTATAATCGCTTGAATGATGTCTATAGTGGCCCTGACAGGACGGGTTTGCATTAGCAGGTTTGGGTGCACCCATGCTCAGCTGATCCAAATGTTTTTTGCGTTAGACATGCCTGTACAGCTAGGCCTTGCCCTCAGATGAGTCTCGGGGCAATTCCCTTGCAGCTGCGCCCATGGTTCTTTGTTCCTCTCCTGGTTTCCTGCTTATCGGTGCTTGAAGGGGTATGGGGGAGGGACGTCATGCACGGCGTGTTTAAAGGAGAATGGCCCAGGTGTTTTTGTTAAGGGCATCCCCGGAGTTCAAGGGGTCGTATTGAAGTCCCTTGTGCAAGGGCTTAACAGATGGAACACCAAAGTAGGTTGTGTGAGGACGCCCTTTCAGCCCAAAATGGGTCCTGTTTTTCCCGTGGGGGAATGCCACATGTAAAGGCTTCAGCGTATCTGAAAATTTGCTGCAGCTGCAAAACTCCTGGAATCAAGTCATGCGTCATAAGTGGACGGCCATCCTAGGAATGTCAGATGCGGCTTGAGACCCCCAAGAAGGCAATATGACGAGCTGACCGGGTCCTTGCATTCTGGGGCAGACATATGCTTGTGAAAAGGTCAACGCTCGGTCGGAACCTTGCTGCAAGTCTGCTGGCCAAAGAAACCCATAGTGACAAGCAACTGCGAATCCATTAGCTGCCTGAACCGAAGAATCCTGAAGCCTAGACCTTGCAGCCATACAACCGCCCAACACTCGACTCCACCCGCAGGATCAAACATCAACAAAGACCCCGGTAGTCAGCCCTCGTTTGCTCTTAATTGCTCAGCTTACTAGGGTACGCCCATTTTAGAGACTGATATTTTGGAGTTCCCACAATTAGGAAGGGCCCGCAGAAACCTCAATACTGCAATCCTTATCTATGTACCTTCTCACCCCCAAAATACCTAACCTTTGGAAGCCCCAAACCAAACGCTTCTCGGCATTGCCCAGGTATCCCTCTATGAGTCACATGAAAGTGTGATTTAACATGGCCTTACATCACGCCTATAACAAGACTCCTCAGCTTCAATTCCTGGAGGAGAGCTTTCAAGGCGCTTTCTGGATGTACCAGGCACGCAACCAGAGCGCTTTGCAGGCACGTCTGAGTTTTGCTCTAAGGGTCCCCAGTACATCCATGTAGGAGTATGGTATATGGTAATTTCCACAGACAGGGGGAGGGACCCCAGTATAGACCCCTGAATAAGAAGGTACCCCCCCCCCACCCCCCCAATTTGGGAAAACATCCATATGAGCCGTAGTCTAAACTCCTTAAAGGGGGGGGGGTATATAAGGGATTCTATAAGGAACTACTATAGGGGTTATTAAGGGGGATACTAGGAGTTTAGACAGTAGCTCATATGCTTAGGGCCTAAACTCTTCGTCAGTCCACGTGGGCGAACATGAGCTTGAGATTTTAATCATTGCTCGGGGCTGCGGCTATGAGGACCCAAATGCTGTGGTCGCTGGCCCGCTGTGCTGGGCTTGGGATCCAAAATCCAAAGCCCTAAGCTCTGAACCCAAAACCCTCCTAACCTGCTATCAACATCTTTGAATGCTTAGACCCCCGCCCCGCCCCACGTCCTTCACCTAACCAGGCCTAGCCTAAGTTGGTGTTAAGGAAGTTGACTTGACTTACCATTGTACGGAGATCCCATGAATCATGGTATATCCGCTTTCTGTTGACTTGCTGTAGCGAAAGTGCCTTAAGAGCAGCTCAGTACACCCCAACGATACGCCTTCGCTGCGCAGGCATCCATTGACAGATTGCCACTTGGCAACTGATGCCCCGCTCCGTCGGATTATCTGGATGGATGCCATGAGCGAAATCTAGCAGAAAATTCTATGAAACTCTGCTCATGCACTCTTGTTTTACTTTTGTTTTCAGGCAAGTGTGTATAGCCCTGTAATCCAACACCGCAGCTACTGTAATTGGAAGGGTCCTCAAGGCCCTACACTACTCTGAGGGTGAGGGAAACTGAAGTTAGTCATGTCAATAGCCGGGGTTTTGATAGGACTCCTAGCGGTTATATGCATACATGCCAAGTCTCTGTGCTCCTCGACCCAAAACCCTAAACCCAAACACGTTCCAAGCCAAGCAAACCCTTCCCTGCTCTTGATGGTAACGACCCTTCTCAAGACCCTTCTCATGAGCCTCCACATCTCTCTATGCTGTGCCAAAGCAAAATACTGGGATGGGATTGCTGTCAGGGAGCCGATCAGCTTTGGGTTCAGCCCTAGATCCTGTTTGCATGGACTAGATGTAAGTTCTGCGACTTCCCTGGGCCCCAAAAAGTGGCAAAACCATGGCCCAAAGTCTCAAGGGTTTAGGGTTTAGGGTTCAAAGCTATAGTTCTACATAGATTGGGTGTTCAGGTGCGTTTTATGGGCTTGAGGCGCATTACAGGGATGGCTTGCAAAAACACGCGGCTTCTGGGAACCTCTTGAACGTGCTGAGGTTTCCTGTCTTAAGAAGTTTAACTCCAAGCTCGGACATTGATGATTTGGTTTTCCGTAAGTATTCGCGTAGCACTGATGATGGAGTAGTGCATGGGTATGGTACCAGAGGGCGGCAATTTTGCGACAGTGCCTGGCTATGTGGTCCTCAAAACATGGCTCCATCATTCTACGGCCTTGCATCCTAAGCCCTAGGCTGTGACCTGTGGGTGTTGAGGTTGCAAGAAAGCATCAGCAGCGATGAGCTGGAGTGCATCATATGCGGCAAGGACGATACTCGCCTCTGTGGTTTCCAACTCTTTTGTGGGCAGCAGCTATTGTTATTTTCGACCTGGAAATGGGCAGACTGCTGTACCTCTGCTGCACACCCATGCTCCATCCACCGCGAGAGAAATATCTCGTGGTCTGAACTAACACACGGAGCAAATCATTTCTGTCCAAGTCCTTCCGAACCAGCTGCAAGTGGTTTCTAGATCTCGAGAAATGGGGTTCATGCAGGTCCCTAGTTGCCAAGGATTTGCCAGGGGTAGTTTCGAGAAACTCCCAAACACTGCTCACCTCGTGTCATGTTGACACTAAGGATTTCAACTGTTTGGAAGATTTTCAGCGATGCTTGGAGAGTGTCTTTGCAGTCCTGGATTCATTCAGCTGGCGGGTAGTCCGGTGTACTTACATGGTTAACTACCATCGTTTCCGAAGGCTGCTATTCGAAGGTACTTGCAGGTTCGAGGCTCTTGGCTCAGGGTATGCGAGGAACCCTAGTTGCCTGAGTCGTACTCCATTGCCCCTGCTTTGGAAGCAGACGGCTTTTGTAAAACACTAAAAAATAGCATCCCGTTCTAATTTGTATACGCATCCCCTTACAATTTGTATACGCATCCTCTGACAACGTATCTATATATATATATAGAGACGTTGTAGCATTGCATGCTCAAAGCCTTGTTTTTTGGCAAAGTAAGCCCTGCGCTATGACACGATGAGACTTGCGGCCGCCCGCACGGACTTGGTAGGGGGCCCATTTTTTAGATAGCCCTAAACCCTAAA